GAAGCGTAACGAAAGCGTAACATTCGTGTGAAATAAAATTTGTAGAGAGTGAAAGGCTCATCTGAAGTCCACCGGCGATATTGAAATTAAAACGAAGAGCATTGTTCCGTGACAAAAAAAAAAAAAAAAATGGCCGAGACAGTCGACAGAAGTCGCGAAGTGACAACGAATTTACTAAGAGACCCGGACAGTTATGGGAAGAGGAAAAGTTGTGGACGACAGCTCAGGATAAAGGTGATGTAATGCACGATGTAGCGTCATATTTAAATAATTTAAATAAATTTATCTCGACAATCTCTGCGACGAATGTCGGGCATGCTCGACGTATTTCGAAGAACTGTGACCAACTGAAGCGACGAAAATCGCAACGAGGACCTCGGTTGAAGCAATTTGCGGAGAAACGTGTTTACACGAAGAAGAAATGGCGAAGAGGAGTCGTATTTAACCGATGGAAAGAGGTTCCGATGGCCTCCACTATTATTATCGCGATTTAGAAAAGGAGCAACAACTTCTGAAACGTGGGAGGCAGCGGTGCAACGATTTGAGGCACTGGTAACACAAAGGTAAGACGGTAACAAAATTTATCACGGAAAAATTAAATAGTAGAAAGTAAATAGTATTAACACGAATTGCCGGTGAATTCCGTTTGCTATTTTATATTTGCTTGAGAAATTAATGCAATTAATCTGTCTTGCAGTTTTGGTCATGTTGCGTCATTTCACATGTTTGTACGGCTTGTTAAAATGGCTGTAAAAATATCTTCGGTGAAAAGACCGCACGTAAACTCTAACCAAGCTCCAACTCCCACCTAAACCAAGATGCTACCTCTGTCCACAAGAAATTGAGACTCGAATTTCGTGCCGGTGACCTCGTTTTTCCCTCTCTCTGGCGATTCTTTCTTCCGGTCGAATTAGTTTTGAAATTGGTGGCGCGTCGTGACCGAAACCGGAAGCTAGGATCGCCATCAATTTGATCCAACGATTCAACGTGAAATCAATCGGCGACGCAATGACACGATAATGTAAGCAATATCTACAGACGGCAAGAGACGACGCTCGCGAAAAAGGATAGCCTCGGCAGCAAGCCGGCTTTCTTCAGTCCTCTTCTGGCTCTCTTTCGATTACGTGCTCACCGAGTTTTTTAAACCTCGCGTATTGCTCCGGCGGAATCGCGTGCCACGATGTTCTTAATCTGTCGCTTTCATCGAAACGTGCTCGACCGTTTCTAACTATAGAGGCTAGAGTATCGTTGGAAAATATTATCGAGTGGTTGTTAAGTGCGCCGACGCGATAACACGTGCCTAACGTAGCTGTCCGTTTCGATCGTTTCAGACACAGAGAATTAAAGTGTAAAGTATTATAAAATGTGACCTTCGTCGATTGTTCCTTGGTTATTTTCTTATTTTCGGGAGGAAAAAGGAAGTCGAGAGGATTTCTCGTTCTCAGTCCAACGGGGAGTTCGATATCTTTTTAAATCGATCGTTGATATTTAGTTTGTCCGTCGCTGTTGCTGACGTATAGTGTACGTAATTATGTTACGGAAGAAATATACGACTGTGTAGAATAGTTAAAAGTACGAATCTAAATCTTTTTTTTTTTTCTTTTGATGTTACAACATGATGTTACAACATGACTATCTTGTTAATAGGGACATAAAAATAGTTCTAGCCACTCGACAGGAATAACTCCAGCGAAAAATAGCTTTAAAAAAAAGTCGAAGGTGAAACTCGATGATTTTCGTCCATGAATATACCAAAGTATTACACACCAGCTAAATATTTAGAAATAAAAGTCAGAAAAAAGGGTCAAAATTCTGTTACCTCAAGAGACTAAAATTAATTATTAATTTCCAAGAATGCATTATCATCTAAAAAAAAAAAACAGAAAGAAAAAGAAAATTTAACAACGATCGAAACGGTGTCAACGAAAGAACGCGGCTTAAGGTGAAATTTAGCCTCCGCGTGCGAGCGAACAGAACGAGTTTCGTTACGTCACGGTGTCACGTGAAAATTCCATCGCGCGATTTCTGATAAAATTTCGATCGATCGGACGTCAGTCGCTGGATTACCGGAGCAACGTGGGAGAAACACGGAGAAAGAAGAAAACAAAAAAAATAGCTAAAGGGTCGATCGATCGGAATTGTCTATTTCATCGGGTTGTCTTTTCTCTTCGTTAAACAACGTCACTTTTCACGCTTCGTTAACATTCGTCAGCTTCATTGAGAAGACGAGTTCCCGCGGGTCGCGAGCTGACGCAAGTAACTTTACGATCAACACGTGCCGCGCAACAATGAAATGCACGAACCTCTGCTGCCGCCAGTTATGCGCCGAACACCGTTTCGCGATCCATTCGTCCTCACGTTCTCCGTCAGTCGCGAAGGGCGCGAAATCCATATCGAATCGATGATCTAACGAGTCGAGTTTGTTTGTCGATCGCTCGCGAGTCTCGGTTCCTGAGGATCCGGAGGATCTTGTCGATCTGTCGGGAATTTATCACGTAGAAAAAAATGTCCGAGTTCGAAGTGTACGAAATTGTCAAGCTTCCTTGAGTCGACGATCCAAGAAAGTGTCTTATATATTAAAACTTTGTACATATTAAATATATAAATATATTAAATATATTAAATATATATAATTTATAATTTATATATATTACGAATTCGAAATTGCTCTGTTTACTATTACAATACGAAATTTCTCCTATACGTATAAAATTCGTATATATTAAATATATAAATATATAAAAATATTAAATATTAAATATATAAATATATAAAAATATTAAATATATTAAATATATAATTTATAATTTATATATATTAAGAATTCGAAATTGCTCTGTTTACCATTACAAAAATACGAAATTTCTCCTATACGTATAAAATTTGTATATATTAAATATATAAATATATTAAACATATTAAATATATAATTTATAATTTATATATATTAAGAATTCGAAATTGCTCTGTTTACCATCACAAAAATACGAAAATTTCTCCTATACGTATAAAATTACGTATACTTCAAATATATTGCTTTAAAATTCAAATGAAGATTTAACAAATACTTGAAACTCGAGAATTTAAACATTCCCTCGCGTCAAAAATTCAAATTATTCTCGTGCTCTCAATAGTGGAATCAATCATTTGCAAGTGCAAAGTCTAACGGTGTGAAATCAACTATCAACGCGTGGATTCTCGACGAAGAATCTCGACGCTCTTTCGAAGCGTGATCGCTCTGGAAACGAAGAACACGCGCGCGTGTTTCGACACAATCTCGAACAGAAAGAGCGACGATCGCGTCGGGAAAGCGAGCGGCGGCGGCAACGGACAGGAGAGGATCGCGTGGATCGTTGTTTTTCGCGCCGCTCGATAAACTATACGCGCGCTATCGTCGCGGCAGTGAAACGCTGACGACAGTGATGTAACGGTGGAAAATAAAGCGGTGACTCGCGTGGATATTGGTACCGTGTGCTGGCGCACGCGTAAACACATGGAGGCGGACTTTCCTCGAATTTTCGGTGGCAGTTTTTCAAACACGTCGATCCGGTGATCAACTCTTTCTCTATCGGCCGATCATATCCGATCCGCGGTCCTCGTTGTGTTTCAATCGTCTTGCTCTGCAAACTTACGTTACCCTGTACCGCGAGTAAATCTTTGTTTCAACTTGGCTTCATGTACATGTCAATATTGGTGCGTACCGTTTGAACAGCTGACGTTTCAGTTTCTTGAAGTGCAAGTACTCGAATTTTTCAATACATTTCGATCGATTGCACTGAACGCTGGAGACCGAGACAATTCGGGATTTTGTACTATTCAGTTTTTGAAGTATTGAATTTAGTCATTAATACAAAGTAGAATTGAATATTCTACATTCTCATAATCTGTTTTTTTTTCTTTTTGTAATAATTTTAGTTGGTTCGATTTTGTCATCGAGAATCTACGTGATTGTAAATTTCACCTTCGATTTCGTACGAAATAGCTTTGTCGTGAAACATCGATGATTCGATGAAAGTATCAACGATTCAAAATAGATTTCACGGTTCGAAACCAATATTAACGTGTCGTGGCAAGTTGAATTCAAGTTAAAGTTGAAATCACACTATGTGCAGATTGGCGAGCTTCGAATTCGCAAAATTATTGAAACGTAGCTTCACGTTCACGTTTGAACCTTGAACTTGAATTTTAAATGACGCGGTCGACTTCCTTCGACTTGACCCAATACGTCAACATCCGCTATACACTCGCGTACGACGACAAATTACTGTTGGTGAAACTGTTCTCGAATCTCGGAGAAGCAGAGTGCAACGATCCGCTCAGACGATATTTAAAAAAAAAACAAAAAACAAAAAACACATTCTCGCGGAGTACGTCAGACTCTATTTTCGACTTGGCCAACCTCTTGATACTCATTAGCGTTTCCAAGTTCCCCGCATCGAGAGGTCAAAACTGGAAATCTTATCGCTCGACTCTGCAACCTCTTCGTTCCACAGTTCGCGTCAAAAAGCACGCGGAATTTTTCGCGGGTCAAACCAAAATCGCCATTTTCCTCGGTTTGAAAAAATTCGCGGAGCAGTAACTTTCGAAAAGAGAGAGAGAGAGAGAGAGAGAGAGAGAGAGAGAGAGAGAGAGGACGAACGAAGTCGATTTTCGTTGAAAAATATGCGACAGTTTCTCGTTTGACTCACCGAGCCGCTTCCAGCCGAGATGTTGCGCCGACGGAACTTTATATTTCCACGAGCCGTGCACAGCTGACACGATAATCCATATTACCGGAGCATTACTGTCACTTCATCCGTTCCTCTCGATTGCTACGGCTTCTTCAGTTTCTTGCGGTCGTTTCACCGGTAGTCTTCCAGCTCCCTTCGTCTCTGCGAGATTGGAAAATCGTTGGATGTTGCGAATTCGAAGAGAAGGACGCGAGAAAACGGGAGAGATAGAGAGAGATAAAATTGATAAAATTGGTGAAAGTTACCTCGTTAATATAACTGTGTATTAATTCAGAGGGAGAGAATAGGAAGATAAAGGTTGAAAAAGGTCGGCGAATATCTAGAAAATTCCTAGAAGGAAATCCTTTAATATTGTAATTCTCTGAAGAGAATGACAGGAAAAGGAGAGAAATTTCAAGAGACTTGGTAGAAAGGGACACACTGAATCGTTCGAAACCGACAGACATGATATTAGAAACTCGAAGAAAGAGACAAATTGACAAAAAACTGATGAAAATTGACAGACGAAGATCTAGAAAATTGTCGAGAAAAGAATTCTTCTTCGAGATGACGTCGTGTAAATTCCAATAATTTTAATTAATAACGAAAGACTGTATTTGAACATCATCGTCGAAGATGAGGACGACGGGACGAGAACGAATCTCAACACAAGCGGAAAGATCAGACGGTCTTCCCTCTTTCAAGAGTTTTCACCGAATTAATCGATCAAATTTGCTAGAATGTGTTAACAGAGAAACGATTGGACTTTCGATGGGCCAGCTGGCTTAAATACCAACGCGATAATAAACGACAACTTTCTCGAAGCAGGTTCTCGGTGCAACGATGACGAACAGAGGAGCCGATTGTGCGAGAAAAATTCAGAAAGGCGTCCGGCGCGTCGTGGTGTCAACCGGTGCGTGGCTTGGTTCTTTCGCTGTTTGAGAGGTCCCGGGAACCATGGGAAATGGATCGTCCTGCTGTCCGCATCGCAAAAAGGTGAGTGAATTCTCCGTTCGAATATTTTTGTCATTTCTCGTGTCTGTTTTATGTTAAATTGTTCGTTTATCTAATTTATCTTGATTCTTTTTTTTTTTTTTACAATTAAACTCTCGTTCAAAAATCGCAGGGCAAACATTTATCTAAAAACTATAAAAATAAAATAGTATTTTATGCAACTTATTTGATTTGGACGAGTTTATGAATGAATCGATATTTGTTGTATATTTTGGAGTATACGAAATATATACGTTTGTTCTTTACATATTGTATAGAAATATTAGGAAACGTTGATAGAGCGAGTGAGTTGACTATGTAAATTAGAATAATTGTATAAAAGGAGAGTGAATTTAAATTTTCGAATATTTAGTGACACGAGTTGATAAGAAAGCAGAAGATATTGCAAGCTGCTTGGTGCGTGACCATTCTGCAAGATGGCAGCACGCTTCGATTGAGATACTATTTTGAATGATAAAAAAAAAAAAATCTTTAACTTTAGTTTAACTTGTAATTAGAGAAACAGGAAACGTGAAGGTGTAATAGAGAAAGGTGTTAGCAATATTTTTTTAAATCAGAAATTAAGTTCCAAAATCTTACGTAGTACTCGCAGAAATTCATCGTTTCTTTTCATTTAACAAATCAAATCACAAATAAATTGGACAGAAATTTCATGATCTCTGATCGTTAGATTCTCATCATGCAAACTCGTAAATTGTGAAACACTTGAAAAGAGTTACACAAAAAGAGGATTTCTTGAAAAATATTGACAAACACTGCCCTGAATTAATTACCCACTATAAATATTTTATAGTCTTTCAAAGAAACTCCTACCTTGTCCAGAATACCGTCAATTTTCGTTGCTTTTCAACTAATTATACGTAGAATAGCAATACTAAATTATCCATCATCCCAATATCTCACTATCAAATATTTTACACTGACCCAACTCCCAGAATACGATTAATACGATCGATATGTAAAAATTTTCACCCCTTTCATATTTGTTTTTTCTTCTTTCCTTTCAAATAACATCAAACATACGAGGAAATTTCTCGCAAAGCCTGTTACCGATCGGTTGCATAAGTAACTGAGCGGCATCGTTAGATCCTAACGAGTCGCATTGCGGGGAAGAAAAAAAAGCATCGCGACTATATCCACGGGGAAAAAAGGGTGGACGGGGATGCAGACGGGTGAAAGGGGGCTGCCTGTCGGCTGATAGATATCGGACAGATTCGCAATTGTGCAATTGTGCCACACGGAACGGGCACGCGGCCTTCGGAGTCGAGAATAACTCGGCACCGAGTTATTTTCTGAAACCAATCTCGCCGCTGATACGCGTCTTCAATAAAAAAAAAAAAAAGACAGAAGAGAAAAAAAAAAGAACTGATTACGATCGGCCCGCAAAGCAGTCTGCTCGACTCTGTTCTTTTTCGTTCGACAAGTTTCGTCGTGGGTCGTCTGATTGTGAGATTCAAGCCTCGAGAGCGATAGAAGAAGGTCTTTTCGAGTTTTCTTTCTTTTTTTTGTTTTTTTTTTTTTTTTTTGATTTGGGAAAAAAGAAGTGGAGAAAGAAGTTGGATAAAGTGGAGAGAAGAGAGAACTGGGAGAGAGAGCTTCTTTTTGTGCAGCAATTTAGTAGCAAAACTTTGTGAAAACATTTCTGAACTTTCCTCTAAGGAAGGAAGGAATATTGGAATATTGGAGAATCCAAAGTTTAACCTCGCGCTTCTTAAAATTAGATTAAATTTCCTTTAAAGAAAAACGACTCCATTCTAGTTAACTTTGTCTTTTAATTTAAATACTTTCACAAAATCATCAGAATTCTGTAAATATGGAAAGTGAAGGGGAAATAAAAAATAAAGGAAATCGGAAAGAAGGAGAGACGAAATTAAAAAGAAGAGACTCTTCTGAATTAATTCTTAATCGTATAATGTAACACAGACATTAATGACAGTAATTCAGTAAATAATTGTATGTTACGTGTTTGATTTTTATCGAGATACGTTTAAATTATTGGAAATTATTGGAAGTTAAAGATTATAAAAGATTGGATTACAGTGTAACTAAAATAATAAACACAACGATTCAAATTTGCAACGTTTGCCAGACTGTATTTTGAGCTTTCTGACACGAAGAACGAAGTATATTATAAATAAATAAAAAAAGATAATCGCAACGATAGCGTCGTCGGCCTTTTTTCTACAATGTTTATGATAATTGCTCAGGTAATTCGATTTCGTGTAAGTTGAATGCAAATTATACATTCGAACCCATGCCCATAAATTTTTACGAGCAGATTACCCGTCGTTCATTCGCAATCGGTAATTTAATGTTACTTTCACGATTTTAGCTATTTGCGATCGGTCAAATCAAGAATTGAAATCTTGAAAATTGATACCTATAACTATAGACGAAGAATATCAATTGCTATTAAATACTACCCAATGCTAATGCATTTATTAATAATTTTCCCAAGTACGAATTATGAAAAATCTATTAACAATAATCTCAGAGTAATTCGAGTTAAACGATTAAAAAACACAATTTCGTGATACAAGTCGATCAAAAAGAATTGCAAATGCATTTATAATCTTTAACAAGCATTAACCAAGCTGCTTTTCTACTCCTCTAGAGCACGCCGTAAATTTCCGTTCAGATATCTGCAAGAACTTTCCGTCCTCCGTGGTTGATGTCTTTACGACTTCCAAAGAATCGTAAATCGCTCGAGCTTGCGTCCTTGCCCTGGCAGTTTTCCGAACGAGATATATTCTTCCTCTTTTTACTCGTCTCTAATTTCTTCACGCATTTTCAACAAAAAATTACGGGAAAGAAAAGTAGCACGAGAACGTCCTTAAAATGCCTACAGATCAATCGGCACAGTGACAATTTATATTATTTTGTTAGTATATTTAATAAGAAAAATTCGGAAATTTGAGACTGAAATTCAGACGACACCAACAAACTCTATTAACTGCTTATTTTTATATTTTTAATGCGAGAATTTAATCAACCAAAATCTTTTGTAACACGATAGTAAATGCAACTTAATTCTAAATAACTGATTAAAAGAAGCCAACTGCCCAGAATTAAGTTCCCTCTATCATGGTTTAATCTGACAATTTTAAAGAAACTTTGGTTAAGAAATGACTCGGAAAATTAACTTACAAAATTCTGCAAAACGAGCTGCGACGGATCAGCAGCTGGAAAGCCCCCAAACCCCGCCAAAAACGTACGAAGAAACGAAGCAATGAAAACCGTCCGACGCGGTTTGCAAATTGCGTTGATTATTTCGATGCGTTTGTTAGCCGCGTGTTGTAACGTGAGAGTAGGATGAAAGAGGCCGACGCGAGGCGAAAAAAAACGATGGCGATCGCGGTGCGCGCGATCCGCGTAACCCAATTAAGGATGACAAGGGTAATTACGAGGTATCAGGTGTTGTAGGAAAGCTGCGGCTACTTTGTCACCGTGTTATCTCGCCGGGGAACTTTCTCGCGAGTCTTTTGTTGGGCTTCGCGGGTCGCTGAACTAACCTGAGGAACATAAGCATATTGTCTCCGAGAATTTCTTACGATTTACTACCGGCTTGATTGAAGTCCTCATTTTTGTGAGAAACATTTTTCAAGATAACTTGGAGATAACGAGGCGATGAAATTTGATGAAACGAGGATGATTTACGCGAGGGCAAAGCTTGAGGAGAGCGAAGTTTTTTGAAAAATACCGTCTACGTGTCAAGGCTGCGAGACGCGTTTAATGATGCAAAAAAAGAGAGAAAAATGTTAATGTTTCGCTTGCATTCCGTTAACGTCGGTTATGGCAACCTTCTCGCGGCACCTTACTAAGATTTTCTTCGAAGTCGTTAATTAATACACCGAGTATCAAGTAGTAATTTATCAACGTAAAATTATCATGGTATCATAAATACTTTCGATTTCTTGAAATATCGTAAAATTGTACAATCTAGGTGAAGACATTGCAAGATGAAGGAAATGTTGGATACTGTTCGCACTCACGATGAGATTAGTGAGTTCATACTCGCCAGAAAGAAACTACAAATAAAATAACTATTATAGATCATCTGTAAAGTTGTTCCCAATTTTCATTCGTCTCTTTTCATTCATTCCCCATTATTCTACATTTTTATTTTACGTTTCTCAATAAATTTGCTGTATTTCAGTTCTTTGTTATTAATATTATATGCAACGTAATTCAATTTAATTATTACAATTGACTAATGTAAGTTTTCAATGTCTTAATGAGTTCAACAAAGACTTTGATTCGATAGTTAGATCTCTAATGTTATAATTAATATTCATCTTGACGTAATATCCATGATATTTCTATTAATATATCACCTTGGCAGGAAACAACTGCAACTCGTTGCGATATTGACTTGAAAGACCAGTGAACACGCTGATCGATTATTAATTATTAGCGAATATTGTTGTCCAGACGTTTATCCTTCCTAGCCGTGATTTTGTAACGCAAGACATTGAATAAATATCGTATTTATACGATCAGTTTTCCCCTCGAGCGATACAGTCGCGCAAACACTGGAATATCATAAACTCCCACGCGGTATTAAAATCGGCGTTATCGATGAAAACGAAACGATCGCCTCGAGTCTCGTGACACTTTAATAAATAGGTAATAGGTGGGAAGCAAAGTTCGAATGAAAAATCGACGAATACGATTTTTACTCACGACACGTCAAAATCGAAAAATTCATTTCGTTCACCTTTGCCTTTTGACACGGAGCATTCGTGTCTCTGTAACTTAACGTTCTTCGTCATTAAAATCGTCGTTGAATAAAAATCGTAATCGACTATTGTGCTTCTTGTATTTATCACACTAAAAGTTCACGAATCGTAACACCTGGAATTTTTCAATTTCTTTTACTTCATGACTTGTTGAATTAAGATTTAACTACAGTTAATCAAAATAATCTCTACGCGATTCAAGTTTTCTTATTCCTAAATAGTTCCGCGGTTTCGGGAATTTAA